TTATTACCGTTCTTTAATTGCGGAAGTTACGCGATAATCTACTTTCCAACAAAGGCAGGCTCCCCGCCATCGTTGTATTTAGAAGGCGGCTTCTTAGAAGCAACGTGACGTCATAACATTGTTCATGATGTCATGTCACCATGACAAAGTGATATTTTACCCGGTGCATATCGCATGAAAACAAATTATCCCCGATATGTTTGCCCTCTTATGTTATAAGCATTGTTATTATCATTCTTTGAGGTTAATGCCACCAGTTGAATTCTTTGTTGTATTTTGAGCGGTGAAACTAAATAAATGATTTCTTTAGTCTACCCATAACAATTAAGGTGTCAACTTCCACTGTATACCTTACAGAAAGAAGTTTTGACTTGACTTTGATAACGAGCACATGTGATCGATTCCTTGAAGCAAATGATGCAATTCAATATCATTTCTACATTTTATTTTAAATGCATCAATCAAATACAACAAATGAGTAGACAGATTGACTGCTATGTGGCAAGGAATAACCAGGCGCCAGCGATTTATGATATCCTTAGCAAATGTAACTTAAAATTCCCTCTCATAAAAATACAATAATATGTAGTAATATGATGAAGAAAATAATAAGAACCAGGTTAAACTATGACAACGCAATATATGAATGTATGATCGAAACATAAATCATAATAAATCACATATGATCAAAACATAAAATTGACTTCAAATATATCCTTGCGTCAACATTGAAAATAATTCGAAAATGAAGAAGAAGAAACGTACATTTCCAAGCGTAAACAAACAATATCCTGTTATTTTGGGATATGCTATGAAGAACTTCAAAATGTAATAGAAATAACATTAAATTATTGAAAGCTATTGCTCGTAAAATATGTCCTTGCGTCAACATCGAAAATAACTCCATATTGAAAAACAATTAACTTTAATTTTCGAAAGATACACAAATAATCTCTGGCTTTTTTAAGACGTGTCACGAATAATTTCACAGCTGGTAGAATTAACATGAAATTAAAGAAACCATATGCTAACAAAAATTTGAAAATTAGTAATGACAAAGCGTTTGTCACAAACATAGCTATTACCCCCGCCACATGTCGACATCTGAATGTCGCAATTATCCTCTGTCTGACCCTGAAAATGATGTAAACGTTACCGAAACTGTCATCTGATGCCTTGATACAAAATGTGAACAAATTCCATCCATTAGGTTTGGAGATATCGCAAGAATACTCGCTGTGACCTTGAAAATAATCCGAAGGTCACTGAATTCGACTGGCGTTAGACGATACTCCCAACGGATCTTGGTACTACCTTTAAGCAAAACATATTAATTCTGTCTTGTATTTTCGCACTAAAAAGTTAGACATGTGCAAAACACTTTTCACTGTGAACTTAAAATGAGCACAAGTTTCCCAATCAATTGGTGTTGGGGGAATCCCGCCAATACACCTTGATATAAAATTGGATCAAAATCTATTAATACTTTCCTGAGTTCGCGGCTACCAAGCTTGGCATGTGCAAAACTGTTACACCTTCGCTGTGACCTTTAAAATGACCTCCAGGTCACTAAATTCAAGTGGTGTCGGTAAATCTCCAATCTACAGTCAATAAACCTTGGTACCAAATTTGAACAAAATCCTTCATTTCTTTCTCGAGTTCTTTCAGTAAACAGAATGGGAAGTCATTTGAACAAGCGATTGTAGTTTTGAAATTGCTTTTTTGTGCAGTTAAATATCTAAGTTTGATTCTAGCCGACTTCTACCAATCTCAAACATAGCATATTTTGTTTCCTGAAGTTTGTGATGCATTTTATTGCAGATTTTACGGTTTTTGGGAGTACCAAGCCAATATACAAAGTCTCACAAAATGGGGATCGTGAGTCTGCGACATAGCAAAACCAATTTGCTTGAGGCTGACAGATAATATGTAGAAAAATAAAACATAAAAACAGCTGCATTTGTATCATATTCTAGGTGAGGCTGACTACTATTTGAACGTCCCTCGTAGTTATACCCATTAGAACTCCCACCCACCCCTCCGACTCTACATGCATGCAAGTGTGTTAGATATACCCGTTAGAACACCCACCCACCTCCTCGACTCTACATGCATTCAAGTGTGTTAGATATACCCATTAGAACACCCACCCACCTCTCCGACTCTACATGCATGTAAGTGTGTTAGTTATACCCATTAGAACACCCACCCACCTTTCCGACTCTACATGCATGCAAGTGTGTTAGATATACCCGTTAGAAACCAACCCCTACCCCACCCCCACTTTATATGTATACATATCAAAACCTCAAAAGATATTTGCGAAAAGACATGATACAGAGGACAGTTTATATCGAATATATATCAGAACGAATATCATTTTCGTCATTTAGCTAAAATTTGTCAATTCTTTCTTGGGTTATCGCGCTAACAATCTTTATATTGGCAAAACCCTCCGATTTTTGCTGTGACCTTGAAAATTATCTCAAGGTCACTCCATTTCACTTGTGTCGGTGAATCTCGCCAATATACCTTAGTACCAAATTTGAACAAAATCCATCATTTCTTTCTTGAGTTATCGCCCTAACAAGCTTATTTGATGTATGAAATGCAACGAAAAACAAACACCCGCGTATTTACGAGCGATTAAAACTGTTATTACAATTTACGTAAACATTTATAACATTTTACCGCATCGAAAATTATTACAATTTACGTCAATTTTTATTACAATTTACGTCAAGTTTATTACAATTTGCTGCAAGTATTACAATTTGCGTTTTTATTACAATTTACGTCGTAACAGAGGGGATTCAGGGGGTTCGAACCCTCTGGATCCGCCAATGGGTGGTGGTGTTGGTGTTGGTGGTGCACGGCTATGGTGTTGACTTAATCTGGTGAACCGGATGTTGAACCCACAAGTTCTCCGTGTCAGTTCTTCGACTTTCCACATTTTGTTCCTTGTAATCGATAAACATATGATCAGGGTGAAGGAAATAACAGAAGGCTGTATGACTGGTAATATTTTACTGGAAAAATATGACTGTTAATGTATTATACAAAAGCCTTTTTACTTTATTTCAATACATGCACGACAATATGGGGAACATAGGTTTAAATTAATCTACATCGAAAATAAAATCATGCATACAGTATGTCCTCATTCTGGCAGATTATGTTTAACTTCTACAAATATAGAAAATCGAAAATATTTGTAGCACCTTGCCAGGCGTATTGAATGAGCAGCTACGCGTTACCTCACATTACATTAGCTTCATGGAACTCGATACCACTTGCAGTTGTCTGCATTGCTTGGCGAGTCAATGTCCGAGGGTTGTATCGGTTTGTACAAATAAACTGGAGAATCATAGCCCACAGGATATATTTACATTCATGTACATGAAATCATTTTCACGAGATACGCTGAGCACTTGAATATTTGTCAAAACGACCTGCCCCAGTTAGCAATAAGTGACGGTTGTGTATCAGCTACACAGCTCCAGGTGATCAGCGCCATGATTAAAGTAGACGTTAACAAGAGCAATTATCCCCTTAAGGCTTTCACAGTGTGAATTACATCAATTTTACATTTAGAGCCATTTTGTTGAAATCCACACAGAATTATCACGAAATAGCCTGTAAATGTAGCGTGTTGCAGGTTACAATCGGCGTCTCCCGGAGACAGACACACAACACTATTACCTGTCTGTCATAACGTTCACTGCCGTCTTTTGTCCCGCTCTAATGCCAGCAGTGCAGTTTACAAACTTAGATTCGAACAGCCACGGCCGACTGCACGCAATTACAGTAAATCGCCGATAACCACACGCCTGATGCACGTTGTTTCTCGGCGTCACTGGAACTGTAATGGATGGATATACGATTTTGAAGAATGGACATTGTCTTTCTCATTGATACACTACATCACACAGCATAGTGGTCTCTCGTTATAACGCTGTTTAGAGCTTCAGATAGATTGGATTAATGTGAATAACGATTCTGTCGAACAGAGCGTGTTTCATCCCGGGTATGAAGTCAGCAGTGGGTGTGGTCAAATACTACTTTTGAAAGATATGGAGATACCCATCCGTCGGTGTGACAATCTCCATGAGAGAGTACCAGGAGAATAAGCACGTGTGTATTTTCAACACATTCGTATCCACAACATGCAGCTTCTCTATGTGATCCCACCACTCGAGTCAGTGAAGACCTCTGACGTCAGGTATTAAACTTTAATGATATTTAAGCTGGATGAACAGATCATTCAGGGGCGTAGCTACCATTATGAAAAAAGCCCGGGCTTACACATGATTGCTGCTAAAAGGTTGGGCAAGCCTTCAATACTATCTAAATATAAAGCTTTGCAATCGGGCTTACACGAAAATAATCATTCTGTTGGCATCTGACACAAAACCAGTACTGCTGAGGTGGTGACACTGTCGGAAGGCAGCACTATTTGTGTTATCTACATTCTAGAACATCCTCAGGAGGATAAGAAACCCACCTCGCATGTAATGATTTTGGATCGGTTTGGTCACCTCACGAAAATGGAATTTGAAGATTATAAGCGTGCAGAAAATATATTACTGTTGACATATATGGTGTACATTTCACAAGGTGTATGGCGAGATGTTGTCAGACTTGTAAAAATCAGATGAGAACGTCTACTGCAAATTGACGGTCGTATAAAAAAAAACCCACGTCAGTAGGCGAAGTAAAATATTCAACACGAGGAACAAAAGAACATCTGGCATGAGTCGATATAGTGTTTGTTAGTGTTGCTTACTGAATATCAGGACGCCTTCTTATACTGAGAAACAGGACGCCTTCTTAGAGAAACAGGGGCGGTGGGGTAGCCTAGTGGTTAAACCCCTCGCTCGTCACGCGGAAGACCCGGGTTCGTTTCTCCACATGGGTACAATGTGTGAAGCCCATTTCTTTTGTCCCCCGCTGTGGTATTGCTGTGATATTGTTAAAAGCGGTGTATAACTAAACTCAAAAATTCGCATCTTAGAGAAACAACCAGGACTATATGCATTCAGGGCGTTCTAATGACATGGTGAAGGAAAGGCCTCTATCCTCGGTACAACGCGTGGTATAAGGGTTTTAGAAAGCACAGTTCAACCGCTGAACGACATTCAGCCCGGTGCTATGCACTAGACTTCACTGGTCAGACTCGAAATCGTAGAAGATGTCTTCCTCGCTATCGTCAGTGTCGTCTTGGTCTGGTTCCACTTCATTGTCAACCTCGATAATGGCATCCAAGTTATCGCTATCTACATGCACGTCACTTGAAGTGATGGCGTGGTGGTCGGAAGTGCCGTCTGATGACCTTGAATGCTCAAGGTCATTCCTGACATCTTCAGAAGAAGCTTGGGTATCAAGGTCAAGGCCACTTGTTTCACTCTCCTCGTCGGTAAGAAGGCTGATGTCATGCTTATACAAAACGCTGTCGAGTGGAACATTATCTCGGTCGAAGATGTCGTTATCAGCGTCAGTGTCGCCGTCATCGCTAGTCTTGTCGTCTTTGGTGCGGACGGTGCTGTCACTGAAATCTCCCAGCTCGGATATTTCACTGAGTGTCACGTGACTGTCAGCCGTATCGTCTGTGTCACCAGTGTGTGTCATGTCGCTTGTAGCAATACTTTGAGTCAAGTCGCTAGTCTCAGTATTGTCGACGGTCCCCTCTATGTCAATGCGGCTCTCAATGTTGTCGTTTTCGTTCTTGTCGATGTTGATGTTGATGTTGATGTTGATGTCATTGTTGTCCGGGTTGATCACCGTCGCCGTCGTCCGTGTCGTACTCGGGGACGACGAACCCTTCCTGCAATTACAGCAAACGCAGATCATATTACATTGATCTCACATTGAATTTTTGTCTTGTATTGGAACACCTTAATTGTATAACTTCCAGGTGACACAGGACATTGAGTGAAATACTATATATTATATTGACCGGTTCAGCGACATAGTTTAGTAACCTAGCAATACTTTAGCAAAGTCAACAAGTACATATGAAACATTCGGCTAACGAAGTTAGAAGCGTTTACTAGTCACGCCGAAAAGCCGGGTTCGATTTCCGGAATATGTGGCCCTCCGGTGTCACCATGCCTTGATCTATTATTGGGTTTAATATCATGACAAGCAGGGTACAGCCACACACAATCAGTTTACAGTAAAGTGAAGATTCCATAAAGGGTGCATTGAAATGTATACAGGTGGTTGGTTCTGTGGTGACAACAGCGCATGCGACACAGGATGTGACAAAACGTTTCAACACATATTTAATACAGGCCATCACGAATATACAGAACTGAGTAAACACATGCACTACACACGTGACAACACAATCAACACATGCTGGTCCAGTGCTGAATAGTACGATGTACACACAGTGCAACGGCCTTACCTATAGCTGTACTCCACTCCAGGGTTGGGAAGTTATATGGTGGTAGTGATACAGCCGGTCTCATCAACAAGAATAGGAATATACAGAATGCAACCGAGCGTCTACGTTGAACAGAGAAACATTGTCTCGATGTGTGTCTTTCTCAATTTCAAATCAACCTGACTAAATTGGCAGTGGTGTAGTGGTTTATGTTGTAAACAATATTTCAGCTATATGTTGGTGGCCAGTAACAAGCCAGTGACTGATATTATCAACACCACACCAGATCCCAATAGTCGCCTTTATTGACAAGCACACGTTGCCAGGGACCATTTCTAACCCGGAGTCCCCTGGGTGCTGTGTCCGTTTAGCCATATACTGACCGACACAGAGTTATCCGTCCTTGAACTGTCAAACATGAATATGACATTTGGACTTGGACCCCTGTTATAAAAGAGCACATGGGGTCGTACGTGGTCAGTCCTTTCAGCAAACTACAGGACAAAAGAAAGTATCTATGATTGATGGTGGCTGAAGTAGCTGTTGGGTGGTGGTGTATTTGATATGAGTAGCATAGTTGTGTTTTGGAACGTACGTTTGCAGCGTTTTGGCGATTGTTTTCGTGACGTCACGTTTTGATGACGTTTGCATTTGTTAATGCTTTTCCTCTCTGTCAAATCTGCTTCTCATGTTTATAGTTTATTTTGCCCGTCAGTGTATTGTGCACATCTGACCGATATTGTGTCCAACACAGCCTCTATGTTGACTGTATGCCTGACTACTAGACCCAAACTCCTGAAAACCTCTCAGCACTACGATGACCACAGGTCTGTTTCATTTCAGTAATTGTAACGAGAATTTGTTAAATACCCGTGTGATATAAGATAGCATGGTAACACGAGGGTGTAGAACAACAAGAGGGTGTGACAGAGGTACTAACAGTGCAACTGGTATGTGCGAGTTAGACTGCAGCTCTATTCTACGAGACGACGACTTGTCCGGTGCAGTCACCTCCGTGGCATACAGAATCTCCATGACGGACTGGATGACAGCAAGGTCCTCGTGGTCCTGGCAGTAACTCTCGATGTCGCGCAGCTTCTTCAGGTAGAACTCCTTCTCCTTCGTCAGCGTCTGGATCGTCAGCTGCAGCTCCAGGAGCTGTTGGTCATACTGCATCATATCATAAGCCAGTAAACTAGCGGAATACAGGATCGTATCACAGGCCAGTAAACTAGCGGAATACAGGAACATATCATAGGCCAGTAAACTAGCGGAATACTGCATCATATCATAGGCCAGTAAACTAGCGGAATACAGGATCATATCATAGGCCAGTAAACTAGCGGAATACTGGATCATATCACAGGCCAGTAAACTAGCGGAATACAGGAACATATCATAGGCCAGTAAACTAGCGGAATACTGCAACATATCACAGGACAGTAAACTAGTGGAATACAGGAACATATCATAGGCCAGTAAACTACCGGAATACAGGAACATATCATAGGCCAGTAACCTAGCGGAATACAGGAACATATCATAGGCCAGTAAACTAGCGGAATACAGGAACATATCATAGGCCAGTAAACTAGCAGAATACAGGAACATATCATAGGCCAGTAAACTAGCGGAATACAGGATCATATCATAGGCCAGTAAACTAGCGGAATACAGCATCATATCATAGGCCAGTAAACTAGCGGAATACAGGATCATATCATAGGCCAGTAAACTAGCGGAATACTGCATCATATCATAGGCCAGTAAACTAGCGGAATACTGGATCATATCATAGGCCAGTAAACTAGCGGAATACAGGATCATATCATAGGCCAGTAAACTAGCGGAATACAGGATCATATCATAGGCCATCATACTAGCAGAATAGGCCAGTAAACTAGCGGAATACTGCATCATATAAAGTAAACCGCGGAATTAACAAGCGGAATACTGCATCATATCATAGGCCAGTAAACTAGCGGAATACAAGATCATATCATAGGACAGTAAACTAGCGGAATACTGGATCATATCATAGGCCAGTAAACTAGCGGAATACAAGATCACATCATAGGCCAGTAAACTAGCGGAATACAGGATCATATCACAGGCCAGTAAACTATACTAGTGACTATTAGGTTATATCATAGGCCAGTAAACTAGCGAAATACTGGATCATATCATAGGCCAGTAAATACCGGAATACTGAATTATGCCATTTACCAGTTAACTAGCGGAATATAGGATCATATCATAGGCCAGTAAACTATACTAGTGACTATAAGATTATATCACATGCCAGTAAGCTAACGGAATGCTGGATTACACCATACGCTAGTAATGCATGGCCATAGTATGTGGTAAATATAGTTAACTGGATTTCAAAAGGACTAGTTAACTAGCAGAATGTTCGGCATCGTAGGCCATATCACGGGCGGCAGAATGTTTGGAATAGTTGGTCATACCTTGCAGCATAGTCATCCTATGGGCGAGTAAGCTAGCACAATGTTTGGCGCCGTAGGCTATGTCATATACGAGTAAACTATACTACTAGTAGAATGTTCTATACTACTAGTAGAATGTTCAGTAGCACCACTCATAGAAGAAAATGTATAGATGTTCCAAATGCCCTATATGTATAGACATCTAGTACTGCAATATCAACAAGCATAAAGCTACATTACCAGCAGCATATTCCATACAGGTGATAATTAGTTACTTCAGGTGTTTGTTGTTAACGCCGCATTCAGTAATTATCTTACTATGTGACAGCGGTCTGAAAAACATCACGTCTAAACCAGACAATCCGGTGACTGACATCGATCTACGCAATTCGATACGATGACATACATCAACAAAATCAGCGAGTCTGACCACGCGATAGGGTTGAACGTCAAGTAGTGGTTGTTGAAGACATATTCCAACCTGGATTTTAACGGCCGAAGATAAGCACGGGTTGTTCAAGACCAGTCCCAGCCCAGATGGGCGGGGGTGACTGGTGATAGATTACCCTCATTGGCTTGGTTACTTACACTGTCCTTGATGTCCTCGAGCTGTCTGCTGGAGACCCGGATGTGACTGTCCTCTTTAGTGCGCGTGTTTTGACGTGCTGTGATAACAAAAGAAGGGTACACACGTTAGCCCAAGGGTCTGGATTGGGGAACAGACAAATCAATCCTTTTCTACGTTGAATGTCCTTTTCTTTCAATAGCCTTTCGGTTTCTCGTTTGACCCTTGGTGGATCTTTGGTAGCAGCTGACGATGTTATGGCCCCATATCTTGTCATCGGTTCGAAGGACAGACTCGTCCCGGTCATTGGCATCTGTCAACGCCATATCCGTTCTGGACGAAAATGTCAACGACTTGTTTCAGAATGGGCCTTCCTCCTAGATCAAGCTGACACATTGTTCAGTATACGACTATTTATAATCGAGAGAAGTCACAATCGTTTACGGCGTAGATCAATAATGTGCGAAGAGAAGACCTCACCACCCTATCCAAAGCCATATCTGTATACCCCTGCCTACGCTATCTCTGTATAGGCCTACCCCCATCCCTCAACACCCCATCAAACGCTGTATCTGTATACCCCTGCCTACGCTATCTCTGTATAGGCCTACCCCCATCCCTCAACACCCCATCAAACGCTCTATCTGTATACCCCTGCCTACGCTTTCTCTGTATAGGCCTACCCCCATCCCTCAACACCCCATCAAACGCTCTATCTGTATACCCCTGCCTACGCTATCTCTGTATAGGCCTACCCCATCCCTCAACACCCCATCAAACGCTCTATCTGTATACCCCTGCCTACGCTATCTCTGTATAGGCCTATCCCCATCCCTCACACCCCATCAAACGCCTCTATCTGTACACTCCATCCCTCAACACCCCATCAAACGCTCTATCTGTATACCCCTGCCTACGCTATCTCTGTATAGGCCTACACCCATCCCTCAACACCCCATCAAACGCTGTATCTGTATACCCCTGCCTACGCTATCTCTGTATAGGCCTACACCCATCCCTCAACACCCCATCAAACGCTGTATCTGTATACCCCTGCCTACGCTATCTCTGTATAGGCCTACCCCCATCCCTCAACACCCCATCAAACGCTCTATCTGTATACCCCTGCCTACGCTATCTCTGTATAGGCCTACCCCCATCCCTCAACACCCCATCAAACGCTCTATCTGTATACCCCTGCCTACGCTATCTCTGTATAGGCCTACCCCCATCCCTCAACACCCCATCAAACGCTGTATCTGTATACCCCTGCCTACGCTATCTCTGTATAGGCCTACACCCATCCCTCAACACCCCATCAAACGCTGTATCTGTATACCCCTGCCTACGCTATCTCTGTATAGGCCTACACCCATCCCTCAACACCCCATCAAACGCTGTATCTGTATACCCCTGCCTACGCTATCTCTGTATAGGCCTACACCCATCCCTCAACACCCCATCAAACGCTGTATCTGTATACCCCTGCCTACGCTATCTCTGTATAGGCCTACACCCATCCCTCAACACCCCATCAAACGCTGTATCTGTATACCCCTGCCTACGCTATCTCTGTATAGGCCTACCCCATCCCTCAACACCCCATCAAACGCTGTATCTGTATACCCCTGCCTACGCTATCTCTGTATAGGCCTACACCCATCCCTCAACACCCCATCAAACGCTCTGTATCTGTATACCCTGCCTCATTCCCATCCCTCAACATCCCACCATCAAACGCTGTATCTGTATACCCTCTGCCCTGCGCTATTCCTGTAGTATAGGCCTACCCCATCCCTCAACACCCCATCAAACGCTCTATCTGTATACCCCCCTGCCTACGCTATCTCTGTATAGGCCTACACCCATCCCTCAACACCCCATCAAACGCTGTATCTGTACCCCTTCTGCTACGCTATTCTCTGTATAGGGCCTGCACCCATCCCCTCAACACCCCATCAAACGCTGTATCTGTATACCCCCTGCCTATGCTATCTCTGTATAGGCCTACACCCATCCCTCAACACCCCATCAAACGCTGTATCTGTATACCCCTGCCTACGCTATCTCTGTATAGGCCTACACCCATCCCTCAACACCTCCAGAAACGCTGTATCTGTATACCCCTGCCTACGCTATCTCTGTATAGGCCTACCCCCATCCCTCAACACCCTATCAAACGCTGTATCTGTATACCCCTGCCTACGCTGCCTACGCTATCTCTGTATAGGCCTACACCCATCCCTCAACACCCCATCAAACGCTCTATCTGTATACCCCTGCCTACGCTATCTCTGTATAGGCCTACCCCCATCCCTCAACACCCCATCAAACGCTGTATCTGTATACCCCTGCCTACGCTATCTCTGTATAGGCCTACCCCCATCCCTCAACATCCCTACCAGACGCTCTATCTGTACACCCTATGCCCCATTATACACTTACACGTGATGGACACTTGTTTCTCGGACTGCCTGGTTGACCTGGGTGTGTGTGCTGTCCAGTTGACGGGCTCCCCCTCATTCTTGCCTCCTCGAGCTGTCACGGGGTCGTATCCCAGTCCGTTATAATTCATATCGAAAAACTTTTTAAACCATTGTGCAAACTCAAAATTGTCTTGAAATTTCATTTTAAGCAATCTATCCACCGGAACAATCTGAAAAACGGGAAAACGACAAAATCGTTATCATTTCCAGGTATAACATATTGACCGATACGTCTGTTGTAAGCTATTTCAATAGAAATCATTTGCATATTCATACCCAAGATACATAAAATGTGTGTGTTGAAATGCTACAATCTAAGTTACTATTGATTCATGCAATATTCAACACCAGCGACAAGCCACAAATTGCGCGTGCTAGGAAGCTATTAGGCAGAGTAATGGGTTGTCAACAGTGGTTTATTTGTATTACATTGTTTCTGTTAAGATCAGAAGAAGTTCAGATGTTTCAAGAATAATTAGTTGTCAGGAATGTGCCATCTTGCGAGCAATTTGATGTTCTAGGAGTCAGGTGTAATCTAGAACAGCTATAGAATAATCCAGTACGATGCTTAACTTCCTAGGGGTATTTAGAGTGTGGGTAAGCGCACTCTGTCTCATCTGACAAAAGATCAAGGTCAAATGTCATGTGAAGGCCCACTGTTACCCTCAATGTCCAGCCTAGGCCTGTTTCCGATGGTTGAACTAAACTGAACGTGAATATTATTATCATGGACTTTAAATCGTTTACCACTGCTATTGTGTTTTACATTGATATTGAATTTGATACTGCAATTGTTTATTACTTTGCAATAATTTGTATTGATTTGCATATCCAATTAATTTGGTAATGCGATTGTCAATTTCTTTGATATTTGATGGTTTCAAACAGAATCTTTCGGAATTAACAAAATGACGGTCTACATGAAGGGGATTAAGAACAACGATGGGTATGGGTAATTAATGCAGCAACTGCTGAAGGACGTCAACTGTACGCGAGGCGGAACAAAATATACAAAGTCGATAAGATCAATTAGTGATGATAGCTGGAGTGATCTGTTGTTTACCAGTTCATTGAAGGTGGATGGGATGTGATATGTTGATTGAGGGCTTGTGTTGGCCGATTTGAAATTCTGCCAGTTTTCTTTTGATGAAATCCTGGAGTTTTTGGACAATATTTCTACATTGTCTCAGATGATGTTGTGGTTGGAGAAGTCGACAGATGGCTGATTTTCGGTCTGATTTGGTGGTAGATGTAAAGCATTCTTTGATTCTGACTTTGATGGGGCGGAAAGGTTCACCTACGCGGACATCGCCAAAGTCACAAGTGATTTTGTAGACAACACCTTGACGACCTTGTTGTTTAGACGTCTTCCTGCCATTGGCTTCCAGTATGGTTTTATGAGGAGAAGAGCTGGTAGTTTGGTTCTTCAGCTCTATGTTAGCAGAGTTTCGGCGACTGTCAAGTTCAGTCAAGTAACGTTTGTACAACATTTGCTTATCAAGCCCAATTCTCCGTGCAATGGATATTCTTTTTTTGCTCCTCAGTTTGGTTCATTGTTCAAACCAATCCACGCATGAGACACTTCGTCCAGTGCCGACTGTTCAGGAAACATCAATTTTGTGAATAATTGACTGCGTTTGTAATTACCATTTTCTCCTCTACCAGGGGCTTCATTGATGCTGGTCACTTGTGGGTTAGTTACACACACAAGTCAATAAGTGAATAATTAAAGGGAGTACTTCATGAACTGCGAGTGATTAAATTAGTTCCAGAGCCGGATTACGGTATTTCAGTTAAATGAAGTCATGTCAACATGCTCAAAGTGTCAGAGTCCATGTTTAATGATTCATTAGGAAATGAATTTATCTTTTCAATGTAGATCTAGGTCACCTGAAGATGTACCCGCGTTAATGTGAATTCACAACCAAATGTCACAGTCGACTATGGTAAGGCGCTAAATATCGAGCCCTCGGTGGTCCCTTAAACTTGAAATATACTCTCTTGGTTGTTTTCTGTCTTAAAATGCCACACATACACATAAAACAAAGAAATGCATAGGCTAATACATTTCATGAAATGAAACTATAGTACATGGGTGACGCCAGTCATGGTGATAGTCACATGGGCTGTCGGCAAAATGTCTGATGGTACTGTCACAAGAGGGTGTTCGATCAGTACCAGGTGTGAAGTCAGTGACATGAGCTGTGTGTCCGCAGATAATGGGAAGGTGATCTTGAACAATTTGGTAGATGTACCGATTTGCTGTCCTATGCCCTTGATCAACCACCAAGGCAGATCTCTGCGTGTACAATATGGCTCCTCGCACTTCCGTTACAGAACATGTCGACCTGCCGAACACACGTCGATGCAAAACGTTCGTTTCGACCTCGGTAGATACGCTGTCTTCCATCCAGACCCATCGCCAGACGCCATACACGTACGCTGTTGCTCCAACACATATGTTGTCGTAGAGTGAAAACGTTTTAACGTAGGGACACCTGTCTTCTTGGCCTAATTCCCACCTCTTGCAGATGCTTCCTGAATTTGTTTGGTCCGATAGCCACCTTAATTCACCTGTCCTGAAGGCTCTGTGGCTCTAGCAAGTGGATGACGTAGATGAAGACCCGTGGAACAACCCTTGTGCGGGGGTGGTGACTCTTGGTCTATCACTTCCGGAACGATCTTGAAAGTAATTGAGGCAGGTGAGATATTGCGCTCTGGTGTACTTTGAAATGACAGGTAGGTGCAGATGGACTCTCCAGCTTCAAGACGTCCTATTATGGATGTTGCTAGAGGAGGCGTTCAGTCTCGGCATTCCCCCACTTCCAATATGTCTACAGACGTATGACGAAACTTTGCCTGACGTTCGATATTTTGCAGATCACTGCAGGTGATCGTCACAACTTATATGTGCATTCTGCTTCTAGTTTCCTTTCCATGGCATTTTTGTGTACAAAATATGCTACTTCGGATATTTCCGTCCCCTCACAGAGGAACACGTACCAATAGCCAGTAGACCCGCAATTCTTACAGGGACGCTAGGTTGGCATATTGGTTAATCCGTTCACTCACCAACCCGGATCCCCTTCGATTCTTCACTTGGGTTCAATCGGTGAAGCCCATTTCTGGTATCCTCCGCCCTGATATTGCAAAATGCGGCGTAAAACAGTACTGAACAATTTCTAACAACACTCACGTCCTGACTGCAACAATAGATTTTACTTCCTGCTATACTATAAGCTAGTATGTCACTTGGCCTGTCACCTTATGTACACCCATCACGTGACTCACCACCCTACCTACCCCATCACTTGGCCTCTCACCTTATCTACCCCCATCACGTGACTCACCACCCTACCTACCCGATCACTTGGCCTCTCACCTTATCTACCCCCATCACGTGACTCACCACCCTACCTACCCGATCACTTGGCCTCTCACCTTATCTACCCCCATCACGTGACTCACCACCACCCTACCTACCTCTTATCCACCCCATCACTTGGCCTCCTCACCTTATCTACCCCCCATCACGTGACTCACCACCCTACCCACCCCATCACTCCCACCTCTCACCTACCCCATCACTGGGACCTCTCACCTCTACTACCCCCCATCACGTGACTCACCACCCTACCTACCTGATCACTTGGCCTCTCACCTTATCTACCCCCCCATCACGTGACTCACCACCCTACCTACCCCATCACTTGGCCTCTCACCTTATCTACCCCCATCACGTGACTCACCACCCTACCTACCCCATCACTTGGCCTCTCACCTTATCTACCCCCATCACGTGACTCACCACCCTACCTACCCCATCACTTGGCCTCTCACCTTATCTACCCCCATCACGTGACTCACCACCCTACCTACCCCATCACTTGGCCTCTCACCTTATCTACCCCCATCACGTGACTCACCACCCTACCTACCCCATCACTTGGCCTCTCACCTTATCTACCCCCATCACGTGACTCACCACCCTACCTACCCCATCACTTGGCCTCTCACCTTATCTACCCCCATCACGTGACTCACCACCCTACCTACCCCATCACTTGGCCTCTCACCTTATCTACCCCCATCACGTGACTCACCACCCTACCTACCTGATCCTTGGCCTCTCACCTTATCTACTTGGCGTGACTCACCACCCTACTCACCTTATCACTCTCCCCTACCCCATCACGTGGAAACTGTTCTGGAGTTGTTTGAAGTTGTTGATGTACTCGTGTTCAAGTTTAGAGTTGAACTTTACTTTCCTCAGTGGTATGCAATCTTGAAAAATAAAACTTCACACATTAATACAGAACCGGATGTAAACGTGGACCACAAATATTACACGACATTTAGATATCTCATCTCGAGGAATGTTTTCTTTGTCTTGGTTTGTGTGTCGAGCAGGGTTTTACTATTAGCGATCCGCTTAATGAGACACAGACATTGATTAGTTAAAGTCCTTCAGTATATGTGTGACTTGTTGAAGAATGCTCGACTCTCCATGACGTAAAGGATACTCACGTGACCACATCATGTGCATCAGTTGGCAGTAGGCGGCTCCTGGAGAGGAGAAACAGTCAGTGAGTGAGTGATTTGGGGTGAAGCCTTATTGAGCAGTATGTCAGTTGTATCACGGTGTGTCAGCTTGAGGGGGGAGTGAGTGAGTTTAGTTTTACGCCGCACTCAGCAATATTCCAGCTATATGGCGTCGGTCTGTAATTAATCGAGTCTGGACCAGACAATCCAGTGATCAACAGCATGAGCATCGATGAATTGGGATACGATGACATGTGTTAACCAAGTCAGCGAGCCTGACCACCCGATCCCGTTAGTTGCCTCTACGACAAGCATGGGTTTCTGAAGACTAATCCAGATTTTCACGGTTCTGTTCACATTCTGATGAGTTTCAACTGAAATATTGATTAAAACAGCGAACATCTTAAATCAGTCACCAGTCACCAGTCACCATAGGGTGCAACTCTGCACAGGGTACGACCCATGACGTCTCAGTAAACTTCCCTCTAAAGCATCGTTATTAATGGGTAGTATGATTATAGCTGTGTATATGAAGATAACCTTCTCAAACACGGATGTCCCTCGGATGTGACAGGCCGCAGCCTCTCCTTGTGACCTCCATTTCAACATCGTTATCCCATTTGAGATGTATTTAAGTAATATGGTTCGATCTACCCACATATATAGTACATAACAAAGTACAGGCTTGCCTTGAAGTATATAGTTAAAGCACGAGGCATTTTCGTAAATGTAAATACAATGTAGTTATATATTCCTGAATATTTCAAGAATTTCTCGTCAACAACATTTTCAGGGATTTGTTTCTTTTCTTCATCAAATACACACTAGACCAAGCCTCAGCGTTTTGAAAATGGATGACATCCAGTAATAGTCATACCAGTCATCATTAGCCCCGTAGAGCCGCAACTTTTGGACTGTCATACAGCGCCGTAGAGCTGCTACTTTTGGAGTGTCACACAGCGCCGTAGAGCTGCAACTTTTGTAGAGTCATATAGCGCCGTAGAGCTGCTACTTTTGTAGAGTCATAGCGCCGTAGCGCCGTAGAGCTGCAACTTTTGTAGAGTCATATAGCATATAGCGCCGTAGCGCCGTAGCTGCAACTTTTGTAGAGTCATATAGCGCCGTAGAGCTGCAATTTTTGTAGAGTCATATAGCGCCGTAGAGCTGCTACTCCACGTAAAGTACTTATACACTTCACAAGACCTTCTCGGCTCCATGGGAACAAACATCACCCATGTCAGTACACCCTTGGAGCTGAGAATGTAACACTATACCCTTAAAAAAGCAGGTCATAGATCAATCAACATAAACTTTCCCAAATAGTATGATATTGCGTAATACCGCCACGTTTTGTCACACAAGTTCGCCATACACCAGGCATGCTGTGTGTATTTCTCCCAACTGTTGTGTTGTTGTTGTTGTTGTTGTAGTAAGGTTTTTATTCAATATCATCAGCAATGTTATGAACTGATTGTAATAAATGCCTATATGTGTTGCTGATGAACCGAGTTTAGTTATGCGTCTTGTATCTACTACATTCATCATCCCAAACATCCAGTCGAGATTGGCTACAGTGAGTGTTGGGCTGAGTAGGAGTGCTGCAGTCATTTAACTAACCCTATCATGTAATAACATCACCTGCATTCTGTTAGATAACACTTGCCGGTATCTTGTAATAACATCACCTGCATTCTGTTAGATAACACTTGCCGGTATCGTGTAATAACATCACCTGCATTCTGTTAGATAACACTTGCCGGTATCGTGTAATAACATCACCTGCATTCTGTTAGATAACACTTGCCGGTAATACAGTCATGTCACTGACCAGCACCACCCACCTTGTATACAACCACAGTCAACACGTTGTCATGTCACTGACCAGCACCACCCACCTTGCATACAACCACAGTCAACACGTTGTCATGTCACTGAACAGCACCACCCACCTTGTATACAACCACAGTCAACACGTTGTCATGTCACTGACCAGCACCACCCACCTTGCATACAACCACAGTCAACACGTTGTCATGTCACTGACCAGCACCACCCACCTTGCATACAACCACAGTCAACACGTTGTCATGTCACTGACCAGCACCACCCACCTTGCATACAACCACAGTCAACACGTTGTCATGTCACTGAACAGCACCACCCACCTTGCATACAACCACAGTCAACACGTTGTCATGTCACTGACCAGCACCACCCACCTTGCATACAACCACAGTCAGCACGTTGTCATGTCACTGACCAGCACCACCCACCTTGCATACAACCACAGTCAACACGTTGTCATGTCACTGACCAGCACCACCCACCTTGCATACAACCACAGTCAACACGTTGTCATGTCACTGACCAGCACCACCCACCTTGCATACAACCACAGTCAACACGTTGTCATGTCACTGACCAGCACCACCCACCTTGCATACAACCACAGTCAACACGTTGTCATGTCACTGACCAGCACCACCCACCTTGCATACAACCACAGTCAACACGTTGTCATGTCACTGACCAGCACCACCCACCTTGCATACAACCACAGTCAACACGTTGTCATGTCACTGACCAGCACCACCCACCTTGCATACAACCACAGTCAACACGTTGTCATGTCACTGACCAGCACCACCCACCTTGCATACAACCACAGTCAACACGTTGTCATGTCACTGAACAGCACCACCCACCTTGCATACAACCACAGTCAACACGTTGTCATGTCACTGACCAGCACCACCCACCTTGCATACAACCACAGTCAACACGTTGTCATGTCACTGACCAGCACCACCCACCTTGCATACAACCACAGTCAACACGTTGTCATGTCACTGACCAGCACCACCCACCTTGCATACAACCACAGTCAACACGTTGTCATGTCACTGACCAGCACCACCCACCTTGCATACAACCACAGTCAACACGTTGTCATGTCACTGACCAGCACCACCCACCTTGCATACAACCACAGTCAACACGTTGTCATGTCACTGACCAGCACCACCCACCTTGCATACAACCACAGTCAACACGTTGTCATGTCACTGACCAGCACCACCCACCTTGCATACAACCACAGTCAACACGTTGTCATGTCACTGACCAGCACCACCCACCTTGCATACAACCACAGTCAACACGTTATCATGTCCCGTGACTTTATATAATAAAGTAATCATTATCAATAAGGTCGATGGTCATACAGCAGCGAGGTTCAATTGCTGCCGACATGGCGTTCTGTATAATGGCGTTTTAATCGATGTAAACAATGGAGCGATCAGTGTTCATCATCATGCATGTCGGACACACACGTATAAGGAGACCGACATAGCAACAACTACTCATCCACTTCATTTTCATTGCCAGGTGAATAGGTGAAGAATGTTTCAGATCGAAGTGGGGGGGGAAGTATTAATGTTGAGCTGACTGGCTGATCCTCTATGTAATAGACTGCCAGCGTTAGAGTACAAGGCAGTACAGCTTCGTTGTACCTCGTGGAGAGATTGGTCTGAACATTAAGCCAGGTCTAACAGTATGTCAGGCATTACGACACACAAAACTTTAACAAATACGATCATGCTTTAAACATGTATAGACAAAATAAAACAAAATGGTAATTGAACTCCGAGGTCCGCCCCCTACAGAACCAGTAAGTAACGCTCACCTTATACTACTGGCGCCATACGTTAATTCTATTTAACTTCACAACATTGGAGTTTTCTTAACTGTTTCCACAAAACGACAAACTGAGGAGGACCACACTCGGAGTTAATCTGGACTTGTCCACCGTCACCAGCTACCAGATCATACACGTGTGAGTGAGACATTGAAGTTCCATGTTAAACCGTGTGTTTGTAAACTTGATGTAACATGGAAGTTCCAACGTGACACAGTGTTGGTGACACCCTCTATGGTCGGTTCGGCGATTCAGGATTTGAACCCATCTCCATCACTAGCAGAGGCTGCCTCGTACCTGTACCAAGCTGCTCCACCTTCGTGTAGTTGACCTTCAGACTGTTGTTGACCCAGTCGAGGATGTCGTTACGGCTGATGTTGCGCACGTTGGTGTTGGTAATGAACACGTTGACAGCCATCGTGGCAGCGTTCAAATCGAACTCTCTTCAATGTCTCTATCTGACGTAGTTTCCTGAAATACACATAGTTAGATTATGGTTGTATACAGACATAACGGTTCTGGACTGTAAATGTTCTGGCACTGGAGATTAGATAATGTTCTGGTTGATTGATTGATTTTGGAGACCAGTCACGTCATTCAGATCACAAACTGTCCGGCTTATCCGTGTCTGCTAGAGATGAAAATCCAAACACTTGACCTGTTTACAAAATTGTTTGTTTTCATTTTACAAAGCTTTGCCTGCTATGATTCACGGCTGTAAACATGGAGGACACCGACAGTCGTCCTGCCCAGTCGATACCAACAGGGGAGGGATACGTCAGTCACGGTGTCACTCCATGGTCAATACACCATTGTACACTGTTATATTACCATGCTTAACCGTCGTGGATGATGCAACGTCCTCTGTTGATGCAGTGGAATGGAACAGGTAGAACCAATTACAATATAAAGTACATAACATTCTTGCCTTGGTCACCCATAGAAAACTTTATGATATTGATAAAGAGGCAACTTTCTATGCGTTATGCTTTGCATCCAGTTTCACGCCACGTTCAATGGTTGTTACGTTTAATCAGCTCAGATTAATAAGCGTTCTCATTCATAGGGGTTCCAAGTGGGTAAACCTGTAGAGATTTAACTGTGCAAGAGGTATGCAAGGACCAAACATCCAGACAGTGGTCCCACCAACACCAGCAGTTGTAACCACATTGAGAAGGGCCCTATGGATCCAAACTGATGACCTTATTTGTACCTCCGGTTACAACTGATGACCATTGGTGTACTTCCGGTCACAACTGATGACAATTGGTGTACTTCCTGTCACAACTGATGACCATAGGTGTACTTCCGGTCACAACTGATGACCATAGGTGTACTTCCTGTCACAACTGATGACCATAGGTGTACTTCCGGTCACAACTGATGACCATAGGTGTACTTCCGGTCACAACTGATGACCATAGGTGCACTTCCGGTCACTACTGATGACCATAGGTGGACTATTGGTTACAGTTGATGACCTGTGCTCTGCACTTGTTCTTATCAGCTGACTAATCTCTTAATGTGTGAAAAGGAATACATATTAAAGAGAAACATAAGGTTGAAGGCGGTTTTACTATACCGATTTAATGATAATACATTCATCTTAGAATAAATACACAAAACCATTCCATAATCACAAGACATCCGTGGCATGGGACGGTGTCCATTGTACGATTCTGATTCTACCATAAGCATGTGAATCACACAAAAAATGTCTTTGCTTGGAGACATATTTATCTGGTGTTACCTTGTAAGTACTAAATACCAAAATGTCTACATTTTTTTCTTTAAACATTATGTCGATAGTACCTCCGTCGTGTAGTAGATAGGCCGTTGGTTCGGTCCCTGGCCCCATCCTACCATAAATAGCTCAGTATTAAGGGGGGCAGAAGGAGGCAAGGACTGGAATCAGTATAATGAGTGGGGTATCCAAACAAAGCCATAGGACGTCAGTGAGCTAGCACTAGAACAGCGCCATACGCCTGTGGTAGCACAAACGCACATCGCAGTAGAAATGCAGACCCCATCTATCATAAATATCGATATATCGACGATACCAGGAATTAACACAATTGATCGCAAATACCGTGTTGATACTGCAAGTGTTATCAACTACAGACAAATATTTCTTCTACTTCAGGATGACACTCACAATGCGATAATTAACAGACAATCGAAGTTCAATGCTTTTCAATATTAACATTTCTAACGTTACACAGATACGATCTTTGTGCGTGTCACAGAGAATTATTCTTGACAAAAAACATATTTGTACGTAACGGAAATGTCGCTTACGTCATTGACGTGAGCTCATTTGTGAAATTATTGATAAATTCATTATAACAATCTTAATTAACTTGAAATGTCAACAAATGCTTAAGTGGGCAAGTGCCGTGTGTTTAGGTTTAGCCATGGAATAGTTATAACGTACAACTTATGTGTGAGTGGATCGTTGCGGCAGTTCTAGTCAACTCCCTAATGTTTAATCCCTAAGTAACGATAATGATCCCCCAACAATACCTCGTTGTAGGATAGTGTTTGTCTAATTGATTCTCACTGTTAAACACCTCACTGTGTCTAAAAGAAGCCGATATCGATCAGCCGAAATCGGTGAAGTTGAATTGGACATGTGAATAAGCATAAAAACGCATGTGACGACATCAAAGTTCTCTCGATTCAATATTACACATGGCCAGTCGCGCTAAACGCCATGTAGCAAAAGATGTTGTATTTACAACTATGGCACACTGTTTGCCCGTTGTGAGTGAGTGTCATGTGCTCATCGATGGAGTGTCAATACAGTGTCAGCGGGTGCCACACCCACCCTGGTTGTGTTCAGACATCTGGCCATTGACCAGTCACTTAGTTCTGTCGGTCGGCAAGAAACAGGTCAAGCTGACGCATAAAGAAATCCTCCGAGTTCTAATTATAAGATTAAACATGGTTGGACTGAAAGGAAATTGAAACGACTATTTTACTATTTTAACAGTATATTTATGACGTAGAAACGTAATTTGATATATTTTAATCAAATCAGTTTCTTTGAGACATTTCCTAATTTGAAGTTTAAATTACATATTTAATGTTATGAATATTTATAACATTGTCTAACTGTCAGGTGTTCGATACCAGCGTCATGGGAGCGGCGCCATGTCCTTTTGTAACATCTTAATGGCTCTATGTCTCCGATGGTGTTGCTCGAAACGTGGACGTCCCGTCTGTTCATGTCAGCGTCAACTACATCTAGGTGGCTCCTAGCAACTGTCTGACTCTGTGTCTGACCTCTAACATTCAAACATCGAACCAACTGGAATCTACATTTCTCCTGCGACAGATGTACCGTTCGCCATTGTTAAGAAGAAAATAACTTATATACAATACACAATATGTATATTGGAATTTGTATTACCAAAAAAAAACTTCATTTTAGAACAGAGGATTAATTTACAATAACAGCATGCATTTGTGTAAATAACTATCGTATATGATGCTACAGTCTTGAAAAGTGTTCACATTTGATACTAACATATATATTAGAAAGTTACAGTCAACATGTTGACTGGTGAAAATTCAATAGAATTCGTGATTTCCAGTCGCGACATGTGGCGGAATGACGACAGCTTGTGGACTGTCCAATACCACCATCATTAAGGTCTGCCACTCCACACAACGTCGATGACAGTATAGAAATATATCTGATTTATATGTCAGCGATTTCTCAGCTGACGCTTTCTGGTGCAATTAGTTGAAATATGTTGATACAAATGTCTCAAAAGAGCCGGACATTTTGAACAATTAATGCAAATTATAACCTTTTAGATATATAGGTTTGAATATTTAGAATATCCATGCGAAATATAGAAGTCTATATTGTCTACCTAATGTAATGCCAGTCTGGTTGGGGAAATATAGAAGTCTATATTGTCTATCTAATGTAATGCCAGTCTGGTTGGGGAAATATAGAAGTCTATATTGTCTACCTAATGTAATGCCAGTCTGGTTGGGGAAATATAGAAGTCTATATTGTCTACCTAATGTAATGCCAGTCTGGTTGGGGAAATATAGAAGTCTATATTGTCTACCTAATGTAATGCCAGTCTGGTTGGGGAAATATAGAAGTCTATATTGTCTACCTAATGTAATGCCAGTCTGGTTGGGGAAATATAGAAGTCTATATTGTCTACCTAATGTAATGCCAGTCTGGTTGGGGAAATATAGAAGTCTATATTGTCTATCTAATGTAATGCCAGTCTGGTTGGGGAAATATAGAAGTCTATATTGTCTATCTAATGTAATGCCAGTCTGGTTGGGGAAATATAGAAGTCTATATTGTCTACCTAATGTAATGCCAGTCTGGTTGGGAAATATAGAAGTCTATATTGTCTACCTAATGTAATGCCAGTGGTTGGGGAAATATAGAAGTCTATATTGTCTATCTAATGTAATGCCAGTCTGGTTGGGGAAATATAGAAGTCTATATTGTCTACCTAATGTAATGCCAGTCTGGTTGGGGAAATATAGAAGTCTATATTGTCTACCTAATGTAATGCCAGTCTGGTTGAGGAAATATAGAAGTCTATATTGTCTACCTAATGTAATGCCAGTCTGGTTGGGGAAATATAGAAGTCTATATTGTCTACCTAATGTAATGCCAGTCTGGTTGGGGAAATATAGAAGTCTATATTGTCTACCTAATGTAATGCCAGTCTGGTTGGGGAAATATAGAAGTCTATATTGTCTACCTAATGTAATGCCAGTGTGGTTGGGGAAATGACAACTCAAACTTGGGTTTCAGCTATTAGCCAAAGACATATTTAAATAAAACCCATGAAATAATGCCATGCAAAGTTGGCATCGAAACGGGTTTTTGTGTTTGAAAGAAAACGTTTCTTTTCAACCGTGTGTATTGTGTTCACAAGATAAAATGTATATTTTCGGCATCGTTTATGAAGGAAGTAAACCCAAAACACTAGTTTGTGGCCATTAAATCCAAAGTTGCGTGATCAAGTTTCAGATTATATTTTTAATTATCAAGGTAGTAAATCAGAAAAATACGCACCTTATTTGTTCCAAATGATCTTAAAGTATTGATATCATGAAATCCAAAGTTGAAACACATACACATACATCAGATCAAGTTTCATCAAGTGAGATCTACATCATCGGAACAAATAGTGAGATGAAGTCCAGGTGCTGTGTACATACCTGTCGTGAGAAGAAGGATGAAGGTGTAATCTCCCCGCTCTGGACGATCACGTCTGTGCCGTTGCGACGTCTCACATATACAGCAGTAGAGGAAGACGTCGCCTGATCACTTATGTATTGATCTCCAACGCGCTGTAACATATATGGCGTGCCCCGTTTTAACGACGGCTCGAGCTGCAGCATTTTGTTGTAATGCATCAACAAAATGAATCTTTGAACAGTCCGGATGGCATTTTCCGGCTCCCTGCGCTTATATCAACTTCACTATCAGAAAGTGCGGACGTTGGATAACGCCATACCTACAATCTCTATCGGGTGGAAAAAACTTTCTCATCTGATCATGATGAAAAACAATCTTTGTCATTAGCCAGTGTGTTTAGCAACGAATAAATGAGTTTCTCTGGAAAATATAGTTATAAATGGCTCCGTTTCTCCACGAAAATGAACGCCTTTGCCGCTGGGCCCACCTTTATTATGTTCGTCTTGTGGGGACGCCATTCCACTGTTTGTGATCAAGACATTATCAAAAATTCATTTCAACAAGAGAATGTGTCTTTCAGGTTTCATGGTCCACGGAAGACGTCAACTATTTCAAGGTAAGTCAATGCATTCATTCATTCGCGAAATGACATTTTGTCAGGAAATAAGAACTTGTCTATTACAATATGCCAACCTAAGACAAAGTGTGGGCCTCAAGTAAGGGGAGACAACACAGCGTCATGATCACAGGGCGGGACGGAAGTCGATCGTCACGCTCAAGGTCCCGGTTCATGTGATGCAGGTCTCAGACGTTTTCCATCTTGGTAAAGCCAAACAAACACGGCCATGGCGCTGACAAACTAAATAGAGCGAGTCGGGATTCGAACCACCGATCACATCTTTCAGTCGTACCCAAGGGGGGACATATAGGGAACCTCATCGTCTACACAGGTCAAAGATGTATCATGAGTGATATACCAGGATTGGAGAGTTAGTGAGTGAGCATGGCGCCACCAGACAGAGGATCATCACCAGGATTAGGACAACTGGATCACTATTTGGTGTACACTTGAAGCATCACAGATTATGACTCCCGCCGTTCAGTTGTGTTGTATCGATGTATGCCTGATACCAGCCAGGCTCAGCTGCCTCGGGTCGTCATTAGACTGCGGAGGACAACCTCCTATCACTAAGGTGGCATATGTTTACAACCCATTGTACTGAGGTATCGGGGCGGTGGTGTTAGGCAAATATGTGTTTGTTTGTAGCTGTATGTAGAGTTACTTACTTTTCATATTTGCCAAGACTGGTCGATATACACATCCTTTTTTGTCCTCTATGACCATATCTAAGAAATCACATGAGACAAATAATAACAAAACTGGAAAGGTGTAGATTGGTAAGAGAGCACTTTCTGAAGAAAGAATTCTAAGTTGTGAATAGGTCTTGCAATAACCGTGACTCTGTGACTGTCAGCACCAAGCCGTGTCTTCCACCACCTGCCTCACCTTCCACTCCTGCTTTACTTCAACGTAACGTTGCCATATACTGTCATGACAAAACTGAATTCTATTTATAGCGAGGCTGAACCAAGCAGTCTGCAGGATGTCGGGACTGAATTCAAACACACGCACCGAAAATATTGATAGCTCGGTTATTACGAAGTGAGATGGCACTCGGTCTATCATAAGATGACTTCCGGTCTTTGGTTACTCCTGATTGTGTGCAACACTACGGGTATTTGAACATGGTGTTGATATTCGAGAGCAAATCGGCTTTGGGTGATTACAGTATGTCCACAGCAGCCTACGCCTGTCGGACGGTTACATAAGGCATGGTAGCCATATTTGTGAGATCACACCTCTGTAGGTTCTTGCCTCACATCTCAGGCCTGAGCGATGCCTTCTCATCCAAGCCGGCCTATCAGATCGCAAATCAACTGTCCAAGAAATCTTCCACTGTTATCCAGACAACTTGAAAGGTTTCCTCATCTGGTTTGGTCATATGTGAGGCTCTGCGTGCGTGCGTGTCGTGCGTGCGTGCGTGCGTGCGTGCGTGCGTGCGTGCGTGCGTGCGTGCGTGCGTGCGTGCGTGCGTGCGTGCGTGCGTGCGTGCGTGCGTGCGTGCGTGCGTGCGTGCGTGCGTGCGTGCGTGTGCGTGCGTGCGTGCGTGCTCTGTGTGTGCGTGCGTGCGTGCGTGCGATGCGTGCGTGTGTGTGTGTGTGCGTGCGTGCGTGCGTGCGTGTGCGTGCGTGCGTGCGTGCGTGCGTGCGTGCGTGCGTGCGTGCGTGCGTGCGTGCGTGCGTGCGTGTGTGCGTGTGTGTGTGTGCGTGTGCGTGCGTGCGTGTGTGTGTGTGTGTGTGTGTGCGTGTGTCTCAACCAGGGAACTCCGTACTTCGAGTCCTGATCCATATACCCATCGATTAACGACGCTGTCGGTGCAATTACACAAGCAGGATATATATATCTATCCCCTTCAAAAAATGTATTCAAACAAAAGTGGAATCGACAAAAGCATAGAAACTCCTTAGAAGTTTCAACGAAGCATCCGAAGATCATATAGTAAATGTGTATGGATCGTAATGGATTAAAACGTGTTACATGTGCACACCGTGCGTCACGTCTAGAAGCCACGGTCTGTGTGTGTACTCTTCACTCGATTCTGGCAAACTCATTTTCCCATGGATGTTCCATTTTCACGCAGTTCTCAGCCGCTCAGCAATCGAACTCCGTGTGTCTTCCTTACCCACTGAACTACCCTACCGGCCTGCTGTCACACATTCACTTGTCATGTGGCAGTGGAGATTGTATAGTAACTGTAAGTGGCAGCAAATGATTGACGCGCTCGTAAATTCTCGACTGTTTATGGAGAAGTAAAACAGGAATAGTGATTTAGAGTAACCTCCCTTAGTTGTAACGACCAGAACATCTTGATGACGTCCGTTCTAAAGGTTGTCAAGGCCATTACACCACGTGTGTCATTACATCTTGATGACGTCCGTTCTAAAGGCTGACAAGGCCATTACACCATGTGTGTCATTACATCTTGATGACGTCCGTTCTAAAGGCTGACAAGGCCATTACACCATGTGTGTCATTACATCTTGATGACGTCCGTTCTAAAGGCTGACAAGGCCATTACACCATGTGTGTCATTACATCTTGATGATGTCCGTTCTAAAGGCTGACAAGGCCATTACACCATGTGTGTCATTACATCTTGATGACGTCCGTTCTAAAGGCTGACAAGGCCATTACACCATGTGTGTCATTACATCTTGATGACGTCCGTTCTAAAGGCTGACAAGGCCATTACACCATGTGTGTCATTACATCTTGATGACGTCCGTTCTAAAGGCTGACAAGGCCATTACACCATGTGTGTCATTACATCTTGATGACGTCCGTTCTAAAGGCTGACAAGGCCATTACACCATGTGTGTCATTACATCTTGATGACGTCCGTTCTAAAGGCTGACAAGGCCATTACACCATGTGTGTCATTACATCTTGATGACGTCCGTTCTAAAGGCTGACAAGGCCATTACACCATGTGTGTCATTACATCTTGATGACGTCCGTTCTAAAGGCTGACAAGGTGTCATTATTACACCATGTACACATCTTGATGACGTCCGTTCTAAAGGCTGACAAGGCCATTACACCATGTGTGTCATTACATCTTGATGACATCTTGATGACGTCCGTTCTAAAGGCTGACAAGGCCATTACACCATGTGTGTCATTACATCTTGATGACGTCCGTTCTAAAGGCTGACAAGGCCATTACACCATGTGTGTCATTACATCTTGATGACGTCCGTTCTAAAGGCTGACAAGGCCATTACACCATGTGTGTCATTACATCTTGATGACGTCCGTTCTAAAGGCTGACAAGGCCATTACACCACGTGTGTCATTACATCTTGATGATGTCCGTTCTAAAGGCTGTCAAGGCCATTACACCACGTGTGTCATTACATCTTGATGATGTCCGTTCTAAAGGCTGTCAAGGCCATTACACCATGTGTGTCATTACATCTTGATGACGTCCGTTCTAAAGGTTGTCAAGGCCATTACACCACGTGTGTCATTACATCTTGATGACGTCCGTTCTAAAGGCTGTCAAGGCCATTACACCATGTGTGTCATTACATCTTGATGACGTCCGTTCTAAAGGCTGACAAGGCCATTACACCATGTGTGTCATTACATCTTGATGACGTCCGTTCTAAAGGCTGACAAGGCCATTACACCATGTGTGTCATTACATCTTGATGATGTCCGTTCTAAAGGCTGACAAGGCCATTACACCATGTGTGTCATTACATCTTGATGATGTCCGTTCTAAAGGCTGACAAGGCCATTACACCATGTGTGTCATTACATCTTGATGATGTCCGTTCTAAAGGCTGACAAGGCCATTACACCATGTGTGTCATTACATCTTGATGATGTCCGTTCTAAAGGCTGACAAGGCCATTACACCATGTGTGTCATTACATCTTGTGGAACCCATATCTGCTACTGACAGGTGTTGTGTACTTGTCAATGACTCGTTCCATGATTTGCAAAATGGTTGATTGGTGCCATGAAAACCATTTTTATGGTTACTCATGTATCAAGTGCATGAGGTTAGATTAAAGTGACTGTTTGCCTAAAGAGACGATTATTAATTATTAGTCTATTTGCCTATTATGATTTATCCAGTTTTAAATGGATACAATTTCAAATTATAAATCTACGTTTAAGTAAAGTTGTGAATTTTTGTGATCCTTAGCAAAGTGTGAATAGTATAGTTGCTAAATGGGGATTGGTCACTATTCTGTATTCAAAAACGGAACGCAGTGACAATGACTACACCTGGGCATTGGTTAATGCACTTATAGCATTGCGACTGTAAATCTAAAACTATCTGTTTCCACTTGTTGATTATTCATTGACCTGTTTATTTTACAACTGCGTTTCGTGTCATCTCTCTGGGTTAACCTCTGCGTTTCGTGTCATCTCTCTGGGTTAACCTCTGCGTTTCGTGTCATCTCTCTGGGTTAACCTCTGCGTTTCGTGTCATCTCTCTGGGTTAACCTCTGCGTTTCGTGTCA